TTCATTTAAAGTTCCCATGTTGTGATACGATGCTATAAATAAAATGGACTCGTCCAGACTCCCCTTTTTTTGCAAAATGGAAATATGTACACCAAAATTTTAATTTATAATTATAACGAAACAACTACGAAATGGTTAGTAAATCTGATGGTAGAAATGATTTCTCCGCCTAAAAACACATTGGGTAGCCAAGTTTCTCTCTAACACTCCAATTAATTACTGAGATATATTGTTTCTTAGGTCAAACATTGTTGATTATCTTACAGAATCTACTACTGCGTGGTCCACGGTTTTGGAGTATTTTCCTAATGTGGGTCATCCATATTTTGCCAACCTTTACAACCCAATAACTTTTCATTTATGAACCGATTCTTAAAATTCAAGGAGCATAATTCTTAGAATTGAAAATCCTTTCTTAGGTCAAATGAAAAAAGGGCTAAAGCGAAAAATTAAATTTTCATTGGCATTGCTATACAAAGAGATAAACTCAACAATTAGTACATCAGCACAGCGAAACAAGTGATAACACAGCGTGTAGTCACTCAGCTGGACCGCATCACTTTATCGATCGATATCTCGACCAAGAGACGCTCTATGAGGTCAAGATAACTTGCAAAGTCATTGGTTGGTCACTCTTTATAATTATAACTTTGACCTGTAATTTACTACGCCATTTTCCATATATAATATAAGGAATACTGAAATTTTCCTTTGAAAAAGGTCAGTGTCTATGTCCTTTATAAAGGGCCTGCGCGCTTCCCGGTCAAAGTAGTTCAGACCTATAGGGTCTCCGCACTTCCCAGGTAGCGCGGCTCATGCTATTTATGTAGGGCCTGCGCGCTTCCAGGGTTAAATTTTCTTTGGCATTGCTATACAAACAAAGAGCAAAACGCGATAAACTCAACAATTAGTACATCAGAACAGCGAAACAAGTGATAACACTGCGTGTAGTCGCTCAGCTGTACCGCATCACTTTATCGATCGATATCTGGGCCAAAAGACGCTCTACGAGGTCATGGATCCACAAAGTGCATTTCGCTATCCATCGATCTCCAAGTACTTTGACTGTACGAAATCACTATTTGGTTTATTTATGTAGAGTGCAGTAGTATACTTCACTGCAACTAACCTTTTATTTTTTTGGGGGGTACTGTGGCAAGGGTTAGGGTTAGGTCTCGATCTCTTTTATATTGTGTTTGTTTGGGTGGTCACTCTCATTACAGAAGTCGTTCCCACAAAATAAACTTGCATGGCGAGTTTAGCCATTGTTTAGCGATAAATCATCTACTTAAACATTTTTTTCCATTTTCCTCAAAAGTAGCAAAAATGAGAAATGTAATATAATGTGCCATTTTGCTAGCGCAGGGATGATATTTTAAAAATTAATATTCTAGCTTTCTGAAGATTTGAATGTGGCGAAAGAGATGTTATAGGGGTTCACTGCTGTATTGTTGCACTGTAGAGACTCGTTCCTGTATCTCTGTTCATCAATGCTGGCTCGCAAGTTGGTGATCACTGCCTCC